CTGAGAGTGTGAGCTGAGAGTGTGAGCTGAGAGTGTGAGCTGGGAGTGTGAGCTGGGAGAGTGTGAGCTGAGAGTGTGAGCTGGGAGTGTGAGCTGGGAGAGTGTGAGCTGAGAGTGTGAGCTGCGAGTGTGAGCTGGGAGTGTGAGCTGGGAGAGTGTGAGCTGGGAGTGTGAGCTGGGAGTGTGTGAGCTGGGAGTACCTGGGCTGGCACCACCTGGCAGCTCTGCTAAGGCATGTTCAGCCCAACCCACCCCAGGAAGGAGGAAAACAAACCCACAACGCCCCCATGGCAGGAGGTGTAATCAGAGTGAGCTGGGATTGCATCGGGCAGTGCCCATCCCTGTGGCAGCACTGCTGGGGCAGCAGGGCCAGGGCAGTGCCCTCCCTGTGCTGGCACTGCTGAGGCACCTCCAGTGCTGCGGCAGCTCTGGGCCCCTCACACAGGAGACACAGGGAGGGGCTGGAGCGTGGGCAGGGAAGGGAAGGGAGCTGGGAAGGGGCTGGAGCAGCAGGAGGGGCTGAGGGAACTGGGGGGGGCTCAGCCTGGAGAAAAGGAGGCTCAGGGGGGACCTTCTGGCTCTGCAACCCCCTGACAGGAGGGGGGAGCCGGGGTGAGTCAGGCTCTGCTGCCAGGGAACAAGGGACAGGAGGAGAGGGAACGGCCTCCAGCTGTGCCAGGGGAGGCTCAGGTTGGATATTGGGACAATTCCTGCATGGAAAGGGCTGTCCAGCCCTGGCACAGCTGCCCAGGGAGGTGGTGGAGTCTCCACTCCTGGCGGGATTTAAAAGCCCTGTGGATGTGACACATGGGGACACGGGTCAGTGGTGGCCTGGGTAGTGCTGGGGCATGGTTGGACTTGATGGTCTCAGAGGGCTTTTCCAACCTCAGTGATTCCTGGAGAAGGGCAGGACCAGGAGCCAGGATGCCCTTGCTCAGCCAGAACCCACGAGATGTCCCGAGCACAGTGACAGGTTTTACACCACAAGTTCCAGTGACCCCAGAGGGTTCACTCAGGGACAGTTTCTTATCCATCTGCTGCTGGATTACAGGGCAAAGGCTCACAGGGAATATTTCAGCTTTACCAGCCCCCCTGAACTGGTGGAACACGCTGCAGGGCAGCTCAGCCCTCCAGCCCTCCCCTTCTGCAAGGGGCACGAGCTGAAAGTACTGGCGTTAAGCAACACTTGTGGAGAAAGGGCTCAGAGTTGTCTGGGGTTCAGCTCCAGAGTCCTTTACCAGGAGAGATTATTATTATAATTATTATAGTGCAGTTGCATTCACTGAACTCTCCTTCCAGCTTGTTGCACTTCCCACCCAGCACCTGATGAGCCAGAAGATAAATAAAACAGGTGTAATCAGATATAAGAGGCTTTTTTACAATGAGGGTGGTAAAACACTGGCACAGGTTGTCAAGAGAACGTGCGGTTGCCCCATCCCTGGAATTGTTCAAGGCCAGGTTGGACAGGGCCTGGAGCAACCTGGGTGAGTGGAAGGCACTGCCAGCAATACAGGGTACCTGTCTCATCCCAGCTATCTTCACACAGAGCTTCCTGCAGAGAATTCCTTAATGAGGGATGGACACCCCAACACCCCAGAGGGTCCATCACCATGAGTCTCAACGCCCACTGCCCAGGCACCAGGGTTTGGGGGGGCACCTCCCCGGGAACCTTTGCTCCAGGCACAGCAATTAATGAGCCAATTAACCCCGCTGTGGTTCTGGCACCTGTCCCAATAGCGCCAAAGGGCACCCCAAACATCCAGCCTTGAACTCACCCACACCGGTGCCACGCAGGAAACTGCCCAAAGCCACGCTTCAGGTGGCCAAAACACGCACTGAGAACCAGGGAGAGAGGAAAGACAAGGCAATGCCCACCCTTCAAACCTCGGTTTTCCCGGAGAGTCCACCTCCAAGGGGAAAATTCCACGACGGACAAGGCTCTGGAGGCGAGCAGAGCCAGCTCCTCCCTCGCACCCCGTGGTGGGCGGGCACACCCCAACCCGGGGGCTGGCTGGGCACTCACCACCTGGCTGATGTCATATCCCCAGGGCAGGAACAGAATGCCCGTGTTGTACTTCTCCCAGTGGGAGAGGATGAAGGAGAACAAGACCACCCAGAGCAGGAGGTAGAGCACGAAGACGCTGACGCCGGTGGAGCCGCGGCCGAAGGTGGAGTAGACGGTCACCACGAAGTACACGCAGGCCCAGCTGTCCAGCCCGTGGTCGAAGAGCTCCCCCAGGGGGGTGCTGGAGTTGGTCCGGCGCGCCTGCTTCCCGTCAACTCCATCTGGGAGGAGCAGAAGGAAGGGGCAGTTCTCCTGGACAACCCACACACAAAGCACAGGGGGCAGCGGCTGCCACCGCTCCCACCCTCCGGTGGGAGTGGGGAGTGGGGAGTGGGATTCCCACCCACCCCTGATCCACGGGAGGCTGGAAACGCAACAGGCTGACAAGGTTACATTTAGTGCCTTGTATTTCCTCTGTATTCCTTAAAGCAGCCCCTTCCAGAGCCTAAAGGGGCTCCGGGAGAGCTGGAGAGGGACTGGGGACAAGGCCTGGAGGGACAGGACACAGGGAATGGCTTCCCACTGCCAGAGGGCAGGGAGAGATGGGAGACTGGGAAGGAATTCCTGGCTGGGAGGGTGGGGAGGAGCTGGGCTGGAATTCCCAGAGAAGCTGTGGCTGCCCCTGGATCCCTGGAAGTGTCCCAGGCCAGGCTGGATGGGGTTTGGGGCAACCTGGGCTAGTTGGAGGTGTCCCTGTCCATAGCAGGGGGTGGCACTGGATGAGTTTAAGTTCCCTCCCAAACCAAACCATTCTGTGATTCCTGACTATTTAAAGCAGACCCAAGACAGGATTTCACAATTTATCTCAAATTTGTCTCGGTTCCAGTTTCCTCCTTTCCTCATCTGCTGCTCTGGGACAACTTCCTTCTCTCCACTTTGCAAAGCAGCTCCCAGAAGCTGCTCCAGCAGACCCAGGAGCAGCTGGATCAGTGCCTGGCGGGAGACAGAATCCAACATTTCCCAGGGGGCTCAGAGACCGGGTGACACGCAGCCCCAGCACGACCAGGTGAGCACAGCCCAGCAGGAACACTCTTACCTAACGTGTAGGCCATGAAGTTGAGGAGCCCCACAACGATCCACACTCCGTTGGGAACGTGCTGGTGGTCAGGAGCTGCAGGGATCAGACAGAGCCGAGTCAGGACAGCTCAGGACGAGCTCCCAGGGGGGTTTGTTTTGGCCCAGGAGGCCCCAGGACCAAGCAAAGCACCTGCACGACTCAGTGAAACGGGATGTGAACTTTTCGGGACGTGACGGCAGAGCTGCTCCACAACAGCTCACGAAACCGGGACACTGAGGAATTTTCCTTCCAGGATTTAACTTCTCCTCTGTCCCCAGATCCCCAAAAATCACAGGATCTAAGAACTGGGGCCAGATCTGTAGCCCCACTGCAGCGCCATGGAGTTGTGTGCAGGGGACTCTCCTCGATCCCTTGTTCCCGGAGCATCAGGTGGAGCCTCTCCGGGATGTGGCAATTCCCGGCCTCGTGCCAGCATTCCCTGCCCGCTCTCCAGTCCCATCCTGACAATGGAAAAGGAGCTGCTTCTTCAGGGCACCCCCATCTCCTGCAGCACGGCCCTGGCAGGGAGCCAGCATGGCCAGGGAGCCAGAGGGGTGCTGGCAAACAGCGGGAGGGTATGGGGAGGTCTCCTGAAGGAGCAGTGATTCCATGGAATGCCACTCCCTGTTTCCTCAGGGCAGCAGGATGGTGCCTTCCCAGCAGCAAGCAGAGGGTCACGCCCACAAGGCCATCCCAGGAGGAGGGAAGGCACAAGGCTCTGGAGGCTCCATCAGCACAAGGAAAGGTTCTCTTTCCAAGAGGGACGAGCAAAACACGTGTGAGAAAGGGCCCCAAAGCAAGAGAGTCACCACCTCTCCAAAGGCAACTTCTGAGAGGCTGGGAGAGCTGGGGGGTCACCTGGAGAAGAGAAGGATCCAGGGAGACCTGAGAGATCCTTCCAGAGCCTAAAGGGGCTCCAGGAGAGCTGGAGAGGGACTTGAGACAAGGGATGGAGGGACAGGACACAGGGAATGGCTTCCCACTGCCAGAGGGCAGGGAGAGATGGGAGATTGGGAAGGAATTCATGGCTGTGAGGTGGGGAGGGACTGGCACAAGTTGCCCAGAGAAGCTGTGGCTGCCCCTGGATCCCTGGGAGTGTCCCAGGCCAGGTTGGACGTGGCTTGGGGCAACCTGGGCTAGTGGAAGATGTTCCTGCCCATGGCAGGGGGTGGGACTGGAGGGTCTTGAAGGTCCCTTCCAAGCCAAACCATTCTATAATTCCATAATTCTGGATGTCTGATGTCGTGGGGGATTCTCCCCTTGACCTACTGTCAGCTTTTCCTCCATGGCCCAAGGACCAAAACCCAGCCCAAATCTTGGCAAACAGCCCCCGATGCCACCCGAGCTCTCGACAGCCTGGACTCCCCTACCCACCAACAAAGGCAATCCCCAGAAACCAGGATCTTCCCACTTAACTGTGTTTGGATGAGGGGCCCAGTTTTAGAAGAACAAGAATGAACTCTCCAGAGCAACCCAACCCAACCCTGGCAGGGGCAGAGGGAGAAAAAACACGGAGAGGGATCCACAGAGAGTTATCCCGCTGTAACCCTTTCCCTGGGATTCTGCTACGAGGGAAGGGACAACTGAGCCTTTGGAATCACAGGCAGTGTTGGAAAGCTCAAAGCTGTGATCAGGGAGGCTGAGGAGGAGGATTTGGCCTGGTTGGTCTGCAGGGGTGGAGTGTTTTGCAAGAGGGCAGCGAGCAGGGATGTGAGGAACGAGGCTGCCGGTTCCAGGGAAGCAGCGCTTCCCACGTCACCCTGTGATTTTAAAACAAGGGCACTGGGTTGTTGTCTGCTCTGTAGGATGAGCCCATTCCTGCCCAAGATTCCAGCTGTTTGCTCCTCCCTCTGTAGGATGAGCCCATTCCTGCCCAAGATTCCAGCTGTTTGCTCCTCCCTCTCCCACCTGACTCCCCTGGCAGCTGGAGGGAAGGTGTTGAACCCAGACAAGTCCTGCTCAGGAAGCCCCAGCGGGTTCAACCCCCTGCTCTGTCCCATCACTTGGGAAGGCCCAGACCCAGGGGCCTCCCCCACACGCTCTGGAATTCCCAGCACAGCCGGTGGCAGATCCACATCCCCCCGGGAACGCGCGGCCTTACCGGAGGCGTAGAAGTCCGGGTCGAAGTACGCCATGAGGAAGAAGTTGAAGACAAGGAGCAGGAAGCCAGAGAAGGTGATCAAGTTTGGGGCCAGCCAGGTGGGGAAGATCTGTGGGGAAGCAGCAAAAGAACAGAGGAACTCCTTAAACCACGGGCAAGGGAGCACGTGCTGCGGGGACGCCGTCCGGAGCATCCCGAGCATCCCGAGCAGCAGGATGGGATGCAGGGACTCAGGGCAGGCTGCAGGCAGCCCCTGGGGGCTCGGGGCACCCCAAAGGAGGCAGCTGAGGGTGTCCCAGAGGCGGCTGGCGGGGCTCACCTTGACGATGGTGTTCCAGAAGGGATGCATCACGTACAGGGACAGGGGGTTGCTGTCCACGGCGCTGTACTGGGAACCACAGAGGAAACAAAGCCACAGGTCAGGGCTCAGAAACACAGGGGAAAGGCCAGAGATCCGGAATCACAGGGGTTGGAAGGGACCTTAAGGATCATCTGGTCCCAACCCCTCCACCATGGGCGGGGACAACTCCCACTATCCCACTTATCCAACCTGGCCTGGAACACTTCCAGACTTGGGGCATCCACAGTCTTGTTCCAGTGCCTCACCACCCTCACAGTGCAGAATTTCTTCCCAGCATCCAACCTAAATTTCCCCTCTTGCAATCTGTATCCATTACTCCTTGTCCCATCACTGCTGTTCCAGGAATACTGAGCTTTCCACGAGGACAAAAACCACCTGAGTCTTGGCACTGCAACAGCACTTGGGTCAAGGGTGGAGTCTCCCCAAAGACAGTGTGAACAGCCCAAAAAGCCCCCCCAGACCCTGCATGGGGCACCCAGGGCACTCCTGGTGCTCACCCACCAACCCTCCAGCCTTTGGAAGTGTCAACTCCAGCTCTCTGAGCCAGACACGAGGCAAGGAGAAGATGCTGATCCTTCACTGGGCACCTGCCTCCATCTGCTCTGCCCTGCCTGGGTGGGGAAAAACGAGGAGGGAGAGCTCCTGCCCCTCATCCCACCACTTCTGCAACATTTCAGGTGCTCGGGGCGTGTTTGTGTGTGGGGAAAATAAAAATAGAAATGCCAGTCAAAGGCTGAGACAAGGCGTGAGACAACTCCAGTCAGGGAGTTAAACCTGGACACCCTTTGGCTCTGGAGAGCAGCACGAGCTGTCCTCTGCTCCCACAGCCCTTCTGACACAGATCTCCCTGGCTAAAGTCCTCTTCCCCAAGAAACACTTCGATAAGAATCCCAAGGAAATTCCACAGCCTATGGAACTCCTCGGCTCACACACTCAGAGCTGGGCAGGGCAGAACCTGCTGCCCAACCACCCTCGGCCCCCGTGGTTGGGGCAAACCCCCCCCAGGTCTCCAGCAGGGGCACCTGCTTGAGTCCAATCCCAGCACAGAATCCCAGACTGGTCTGGGTGGGGAGGGAGCTGAAATTTCACCCAGTGCCACCCCTGCCGTGGGCAGGGACACCTTCCACTAGCCCAGGCTGCTCCAAGCCCCATCCAACCTGGCCTTGGACACTTCCAGGGATCTAGGGGCAGCCACCGCTTCTCTGAGCAACCTGGGTCAGGGCCTCCCCACCCTCACAGCCCTCCCAATCTCCCACCTCTCCTGCCCTCTGGCAGTGGGAAGCCATTCCCTGTGTCCTGTCCCTCCAGCCCTTGTCCCCAGTCCCTCTCCAGCTCTCCTGGAGCCCCTTTAGTCTCTGGAAGGATCTCTCAGGTCTCCCTGGATCCTTCTCTTCTCCAGCTGAGCACCCCCAGCTCTCCCAGCCTGGCTCCAGAGCAGAGGGGCTCCAGCCCTGGCAGCATCTCTGGGGCCTCCTCTGGACTGTCTCCAGCAGGTCCCAAGTTTGGTCTGGCTGGTAAAAGGAAGCCCCTGCCCAGGCAGCAGCTCTGTGTCCCCTCCCAGCCCGTGGCCCTGATCCTGCCCCGTCACTGCACCCAGGGGTTGCTCCTCTCTGCTCCTCTCCTCGCCCACAAACCCCATTTTCCCTGGAAGCAGCCTGTCCGTTTCCAAAGCTGGGGAGAAGGTGGTGGGAAAGGGCCAAGTGACACCTGCCAGGAGAGGTAGCAGGGCCAGGAAGGGGCAGCAGGGCCAGGAAGGGGCACCGGCTCCCGCCGGGCTCCCATCTCACAGCGTTTGTTCCCAACGGGGTGAATCCCACCCTTGGCAAGGATTCCTGTGCCCCCTCCCAGCCCTTCCCTGCCCTCCCCAGGCCGGATCAGTCCGTCTCCCTGGGATTCAGCCCCGGAGCTTCCATCCCCACGCCAGCCATCCCACGGGAGCTGCAGAGCCAGCAGCAGCAAACCCCGAAGCCGATGCCGTAGGGGGGCGAGGGATAAGCCACGAGGAATTTCCATCCCAGCTTAGTGCAATTTTGGGAGGCAGAATTCCAAACGCTTTGCGAGGTTAATAGGATTTGAACCACCAGTTAGGGGAGGAGGAGGAGGGTCTGATTTAATCTCATTATCCCCAAAACAAGCCTGGAACAAGAACACAGAGGCTCGGCTCGGAGCGAGGCAGGGGAAGCTCCGGAGCCTCCGTGCTCCTGAGGAACCCTGGGGAAGCTTTTCCAGGCTCACGTCTTGGGAAGCTTTCCCCTCTCCCTGCAAAGACTGGGGGTAACAGTCAAAAGGCAGCTTTTCCCCATGGCCACACACATCCCCACCTCTCCTGCAGAGCTCAAAGAGCTGGAAGGACCCGTTTCCTGAGGGAGGGGGCAGCTGCTCTGCAGAGGTTTGTTGATACAACCATGGAATCATGGAATATCCTGAGCTGGAAGGGACCCCCAAGGATCATCAGGTCCAGCTCCTGGCCCTGCACAGACACCCCAACAATCCCACCCTGTCCCTCAGAGCGTTGTCCAAACCTTCCTGGAGCTCTGGCAGCCTCAGGACTGTGACCATTCCCTGAGGAGCCTGTTCAGTGCCAACCACCCTCTGGGGAAGAACCTTTCCCTGAGATCCCACCTAACCCTGCCCTGACACAGCTCCAGCCGTTCCCTGGGTCCTGTCCCTGGTCACAGCGAGCAGGGATTTGTGCTGCTCCTCAGGAGGAGCTGGAGACCCCACTGGGTCTCCCCTCAGTCTCCTCCTCTCCAGCTGAACACACCAAGTGCTCTCAGCCCCTCCTCGTGGTCTCCCCTCCAGACCCTTCCCCACCATTTTTTAGGCCCCTGGATGCTCTCCCATGGCTTTGGATCCTTCTTAACCCCCCCAGCTCCAGGCAGTCTCCTGGCAGGACACGTCTCTGGCAGTGCTGTGCCAGCTCAGGGGACACCCCCGGGGCACAGGGGGCTGGCTCTGGTGCCAGGCTGGCTGCCACCCTTTGGGACACCCAGCACACGGCTGCCTGCCCAGGACAGACGCTCCCAGAATTCCAATGAGCTGCAGTGAGGGACAGAACCCTGCCCAGCCTCCCCCAGCTGCTTTCCCTCACCGGGTTTCTTCCCTACAGACATTCCCAAACTTGCCCCTTCCACCTCTTGGCCTGTGAGGCCACAAACCCAGCGGTGTCTGAGCTCTGTCATCCCCTCACCTCTGTCCTCCCTGCAGTGTCACCTTCTGCATTCTGGGTCTCCACACACTGCTGTGGTCACCCACATCCTTCTGGGGGTGGCTTTTCTATCACGACCAACGATTCCCACCAGCCTGGACTCGGATTTCTGCCTCGTTTTCAGGGAGGGAAGGTCAGAGGGAAAAGGAGAAGTGCCCAGGGGGAGTTTCATCTCTCCCAGAGCAGCCAGGCATCTGTGCCAGGCCCTGCTCGAGTCCAATCCCAGCACAGAATCCCAGACTGGTCTGGGTGGGGAGGGAGCTGAAATCTCACCCAATGCAGACACCAGCACCTGCAGCCACGGCCGCAGGAAGGAGCCGACCCAGCCCTGACAGTTCCCTTGCGATTCAGGATGAAACTCCTTCAGAGGAGAGCAAAGGCAGCAGCAACAATCCTGTCACTGGCACCTGGATGGGGCCTCCAGTGCCCCAGGGAGCCACGGGGCACCCCAAGAGCCAGAGCCAGGCCCGGCGGCCGCGGTGCCGTCGCAGACGAGCTGGCTGGAGTCGTGATGGGATTTATGGGCACAAATGGCTCGTGGGGCTTGAAAACAACATCAATCTTGCAACCAGGAGGCTGCTGGAAGATTCAATTATGCGTCCAAAGAGGAAAAAAATACAGATTTATAGCCCAGAGCCTACTAACAGCCTTCCTGTCCCGGAAAAACAATTCCACGCTGAAGTGACCCGGCTCCCCGGAGCCGGCGGCAGAGCAAGAGCTGCCACAGACCCACGGAGCAGCCTGAGGGGGAAGGGACCCCCAGGGACCATCGAGTCCAGCCCCTGGCCCTGCACAGGACAGCCCCAGCCTCCCACCCTGTGCCTGGTGGGATTCACACCATCCCTCCTGTCACCCTGGGCACGCCGGAGTCGGGGTGGGCTGGGGGAGGACAGCAGGCAAAGAGGGGTTTGCACATCCCATCCTGTTCCCAGGCTGCCCAGGAGGACCCATGGCAGCTGTAGGGCACGGGCCCACGTTTCCACACCACGGGTGCAATCAGCAGAGCAGCTCCAGCCAGTCCACAGGGCCGCTCCCTGCAAATCTCCTTAGGCACAAAGAGGGCACAAGGCAAGGAACCTTCTCCCATCAGGCTGAGGATGAGCCAGGAGGCAGAAAACTCACCAACCCCGGCCCACGGGAGTGAGCAGGGCTGTGCCAGGAAAAACAAGGCCCGTTTGCCCTCTGCCCACACTCGGCTGAGGGGTGAGGATCACCTCACCCCCGATGGTACTGATTAACCTGAGCCCTGTTTGTCGTTTCTAAGGTCACTTCCCGGCTGGCAGCAGCAGGGATCATCAGCTTTGCCACGCTGGCAGTGCTAGAGCTGCACCCACCACAGGAGCTGATGGGTTTGGCTGCCACCAGGAGCAGCAGCAGGCAGGGAACAGCAGGAGGGATGTGGATGTCCCCCCTGTCTGCCCCAGCAGCAGCTCCAACACCAGCCCCTGGCCTCACCCTGCCCGGGCTCCACTGGGCAGGTTTTAGACATCCAGCAAAAAAAAGACCTTCAAAACACAGCAGAGAATCATGGAATGAGGTTGGAATGAGGTTGGAAAAGTCCTCTAAGACCACAGAGTCCAACCATCCCACAGCACTGCCAAGGCCACACTGAGCCATGTCCCCAAGTGCCACATCCACAGGGCTTTTAAATCCCACCAGGGATGGAGCTCCACCACCTCCCTGGGCAGCTGTGCCAGGGCTGGACAGCCCTTTCCATCAAGGAATTGTCCCAATATCCAACCTGAGCCTCCCCTGGCACAGCCTGAGGCCGTTCCCTCTCCTCCTGTCCCTTGTTCCCTGGCAGCAGAGCCTGACTCACCCCAGCTCCCCCCTCCTGTCAGGGGGTTGCAGAGCCAGAAGGTCCCCCCTGAGCCTCCTTTGCTCCAGGCTGAGCCCCCCCAGCTCCCTCAGCCCCTCCTGCTGCTCCAGCCCCTTCCCAGCTCCCTTCCCTTCCCTGCCCATGCTCCAGCCCCTCCCTGTGTCTCCTGTGTG